TCGAGTATGTTCGATCAGTCTCATTTTCACATATTTCGACTCATTTTTGACAACTTTTTCATCATCAAAATGATAAAAAAATTTTTTGTTCCTTGGAAAAAGCTTTCAAAGGTGCTGTAGGCATTTTTCATTTCAAGGCGATGTCAAAAATGGCCAAATATTAAACATCCTCCTTTGCGATGTGTCTTTTCCTGGTTACGATTCAAAACTCACAATTAGGGACTCTTGATCGACCTATATTTTTATATATTCTTCCCGTACTTAGTATTCTATGACATACATTTAACATCCTTTATTATGACTGTGTAAGGGAGGTTTACTAATATTCTATAATAAAAACTGGCCGCTAATACTCTTTCCTAACAAGTATATTTCAATAACTCCTCTCAACGAACTGCCTAAGCACTGTCCCGTACGCTTCTCAACCTACCCTTTTAACCCATTTGCATCATGGCTGTACTTAAGGTGCCGTGTTCAGGCATCAGCGACGTTCAACTGACGACTAGCCCGTATCACCGCGCGCGTATCAGCACCTACTCATAATGACAGTTAAAAGGATTTTCACGACAAAAGTAAAACTTGTTAAGAATATAACGAACCGATGTAAATGAGATGCTCGCAAAAGGGATCAAACGTGATCTGTGGCACATGAAGAATATTCAGTAAATGGCATTGAAAAAAGTCAGCTCGCGGATTATTTCGCGCTCGGTGATAGGCGACAGTCGTAGCTCGCGGAATATTCCGCGCTCGTTGATTATAGCACAACAGTCAAAGTTCTTTCCTAACCTAACCAAACCAAACGTAACATACCAAACATAACCTAACTCAACCTAACGCGCCTAGACCACTATGGCTGACCTCCCTATCGCCAAGCAGAACATATTAGAGGAGAGTAGAGCGCAGGAGTCCATAGAATAGCAATAGACGACAGTCGTGGGTCGCGGAATATTCCGCGCTCGGTGATAGACGATTGCCGCTGTTCGCGGAATATTCCGCGCTCGGTGATAGGCTACAGTCGTAGCTCGCGGAATAATCCGCGCTCGGTGATAGACGACTGCCGCTGTTCGCGGATATTTCCGCGCTCGGTGATAGGCCACAGTCGTAGCTCGCGGAATATTCCGCGCTCGGTGATAGGCGACAGTCGTGGCTCGCGGAATATTCCGCGCTTGGATGCAAAGGGGTTAAGGATGGGTCTCCTTTATTCATTGATCGTGGATCAAGTGGATCGCCGCTTCGATTTGAGACTCCGGTTATCAGTGCTACGTGCTCCTCACTCACGCTGCCTTATCGGTAACCAGAGCTCGCCTAATCTTATATATTCTTACAACTGTGACAAAGACGATTTGTCATAAATTTACACAGTGATGGTAATCCTTATCGATGTTGATATTAATCTTGTATCGACGATCTTAATCATTCTTCTGAATCATTTTCCCTATTTATGTTCAGTGCTTTGCAGAGAAACTCGTATCGCATATTCGTGGATAATAAAAATCAATTTTTCGATAAAAAAGATAGACTGTAGCCCCTGTATTAGTTAAACATTTTGTACTCCTCTCGGTGAGTACTATTAGCCCTTAACCCTTTCACGAGTAAGGGTTTTATGGCAGCCTTAAGACGATTTTGCATTTAACTCACTAGCGCCACCACGGTTCGTATCTCCATTAAACGTAATATAAATATTGTATACATCGTTGAATTATTTTCTTATTTTACTGAATCGAATATTTTCGTGTCTGAGTGTACGCAGTTGCCAATATTTCGATTTCCAATAAAATCGTTGGAAATTTGAATACCTTTAAACTTTTGCGAAGTAAATAAAAATTCTTATTATCCCGAGTTTCGAGATATATCTTAGCGTCTTGACAGCCAAATCGAGAGCCAAATGATTATTGGAAAGTAGGGTACTAGAAATTGGCCAATTTTGGTCCTAGTTGCCAACGAAATATTTCTCCAGGGTACGTTTTTATAGGTTTTAACTGCGAACGTAAGGCGATCGGTCAAATGACCGGTTTTAAACTTCGAATTAGAAATTCTACATTGGACGTCATTGCTTTCGTCACTCGACATGGCGACTGGTTCTTCTAATATACATATCATCAATTTCTTTTTTTGTTCAGATTCATATGTAACCTGCTTCATCTATCGCGACTGATTACATTATCTTATAAATATAATTTATAACGCCAGTTTGTTTCAAACTGATAAATACGTATCTCGATACAGGGAACCCGCGAATACAGTTATATATTGGGTTGGCAACTAAGTGATTTCGGATTTTGTCAATAGATGGCTTTTACACGTTCTTTTCTTCTGTCAACGTGCTCAAGGCACCTAACTTATATTGTTTTCTCGTTGTTTGGACTTCCGCCTTTAATTTAGTTGAAAAATCGCATCGATTAGTTATTTAGTTTCGTTTCTATCCCAATTTAAAAATGGAAGAACGAGACGCGCATTTCGGACATATTTTATTGTTTTATTTCCGAAATGGCAAGAACGCATCGCAAGCACGCAAGAAGTTGTGTGCCGTAAATGGGAATGAAACCTTGAAAGAAAGACAGTGTCAAAATTGGTTTGCCAAATTTCAATCTGGTGATTTTTCGCTGAAAAATGCGCAACAATCTGGCGGTCCAGTTGAAGTCAACGAGACCCATATCAAGGCCATTATCGATTCAGATCGTCATAGCAGAACACGTGAGATAGCAGAGA